CTACGCCCGCAACGCATAGCATGTCAAGATGCGACAGCCCAAATGGCTCTGATCCAGTTCATGTCCGCCGGATTAGACACAGCTGCCGTGCCTACGACAGTCCACTGTGATCATTTGATTGTCAGTCGTGACGGCGAAACGCAGGACCTTGCGCGAGCGCTCGACAATCATAAAGAAGTTTACGATTTTCTCGAGTCCGCATGTCAGAAATACAACATGGGGTTCTGGAAGCCCGGTGCGGGAATCATTCACCAGATTGTGCTGGAGAACTACGCCTTCCCAAGTGGGATGATGATCGGGACGGATTCGCATACCCCCAATGCGGGAGGTCTGGGCATGATAGCCATCGGAGTCGGCGGTGCTGATGCCGTGGACGTAATGGCTGGATTGCCGTTGGAGCTGCAAGCGCCCAAGGTATTAGGTGTTCGTTTGACGGGACAGTTGTCCGGATGGGCTTCGCCGAAGGATATTATCAATGCTGTAGCTGAGACACTTTCCGTCAAGGGGGGAACAGGGTCCATTATTGAATACTTTGGACCTGGGGCGCAGACTTTATCAGCTACTGGAATGGCAACGGTTTGCAATATGGGTGCAGAGACGGGTGCCACGACGTCCATCTTCCCTTATGCGTCACAGATGGCGGATTATCTTCGTGCTAACCATCGCTATGAGATGGCTGATGCAGTTAAGAGCATTGCGCCGGAGCTGCGGGCTGATCAAGGGGCTGAGTATGATAATGTCATTGAGCTGGATCTGTCAACTCTCGAGCCACGCATCAATGGACCTTTCACGCCGGACTTTTCTACGCCGGTTTCGCGGCTTGGTGAAGCCGCAGCGGAGAATCAGTGGCCGGGTGAATTGACGGCAGCTTTAATTGGTTCGTGTACTAACTCTTCATTTGAAGATATGGGACGTGCAGCTAGTCTCGCTCAACAGGCATTAGATGCAGGGTTGGAACCGAAGATGCCGCTTTTGGTATCCCCGGGTAGTGTTCAGACGCGCGAGACGTTGAAAGATGCTGGCATCTTGCCAGTCTTTGAGAGACTCGGTGCGACGATGCTTCCCAACGCCTGTGGCCCATGCTGTGGGTCTTGGGATAGAGTTGACATGCCAAAGGTATAGTATTGCCATTCCACTTCCCACACGACATCATTTCTAACGGTATAACTAGGGCACACCCAACTCCATCATAACCTCCTACAACCGGAACTTCTCCGGCCGATTGGACTCCAACCCAGCAACCAACGTATTCCTAGCATCCCCGGAGCTCGTCATAGCAAAGGCCTTCTCCCGCGACCTATCCTTCGATCCAACCACCGACACGCTCCGTACACCGTCCGGCGAGCAATTCCACTTCCTCCCCCCAACCAGCGACACCCTCCCCTCAAAGGGCTACCTCTCCTCCGATTCAGCCTACGCACCCCCACCCGCAAACCGAGATAACATCTCCGTCAAAATCGACCCTTCATCTCTCCGCCTCCAAAAGCTCTCTCCATTTCCACCCTGGCCCGGACACGACTTCGAGAACTGCGCCATTTTAATCAAAACAGCCGGAAAGTGTACAACAGACCACATCACCCCGGCCGGTCCATGGTTCCGCTACCGCGGGCACCTTGAAAATATCTCCAACAACACGCTAATCGGGGCAACCAACGCCGAGAACGGCAAGGTAAACAGTATCAGGAACCAGCTCACAAAGCAGGACGGACAGGAAGTGCCCGCTACAGCACGTCACTACAAAGAAAACGGCGTGCCGTGGGTGGTCATCGCAGACCATAACTACGGCGAGGGCAGTTCGCGGGAGCATGCGGCGCTGCAACCGAGGTATCTAGGTGGTGTGGCGATCATTGCAAAGTCCTTTGCGAGAATTCATGAAGCGAATCTGAAGAAGCAGGGTTTGTTGGCGTTGACGTTTGAGAGTGAGCAGGATTATGATAGGATTAGGGCCGAAGATCGGGTTAGTATTATGGGGCTTGGGGAAGGCGAGTTTGTTCCGGGGAGCGCTTTGAGGTTGGTGGTCAATGGAGGCGAGTGGGAGGCTGTGCTCAGACATAGTTTTACCGAGGAGCAGATTGGGTACTTTAGAAGTGGGAGTGCGTTGAACCTTATGGCAGGGAAGTAGTTAGATGCTATTTACAGTCGATGTGTATTAATATGATATATCATGCTCTAACCGAATCATAAATCGCCCAATGCCAGCACTATCCTCCGCAACGCCTCCTCAAGATACTCCCTCGGATGCGTAAACACAATCCTGAACCACCCACTATGCTCAGATCCGAACAACACCCCGCTAGCCAGGAAGACCTTCCTCTGCAGCAGAAGCTGCATCACCTTGTCGCTGATCCCGTCACCCAAATCTGCAGTCTGCTCGGGGTGTAACTCGCGATACCTCTTACCCAGATTAACCCAGAGGAAGAACGCAGCATTAACCCCCGGAGCATATTCAATCCCATTTTCCCTTAGCCGTTGAACAGCAAACGCATATGACTCAGACATCCTCTGCCGATTAAGCTCGATATACCTCGTAGTAAAGTCCGTGTCTTCAAGGACCGTAGCAGCGACATGTTCCGAAACAGACGAGGAATAACTATACAACGACACGCCCTGCAACGCCTTATGCAGAATGGGATTATTCTGAGAGATGATCACCCCGAGTCGAATACCATTGGCGCCGAAATCCTTACTCATTCCCCATAATGCATGGACTAGACTAGGGTCGATGATTCCGGTTGGGTCGATCGACAAGGCGGACACGAATGGCACGGGTACATGCTCGTCAACGGCATTCTCCCACACGGACAGCGCATATATCTCATCGCTGATCAAATGAATCTGATATTTATGACACAGCCGCATCAGATGAATGATAGTTTCCCGGGGGTAGCACCGACCCAGCGGGTTATGAGGATGACAGAGCATCAAGGCGCGGACTTTCCGGCCGGTGTTCTGCTGAAACGTGAGTAGTGCGCGCTCGTAGCAGTCCACGGCTTGCAGACTGAATGGATCGCAGTCACCAAATTCTACAGGGACGACTGTCGCCCCGGGGCGGAGGGACATGTCTGGGATGAAGGTGCCGTAGTAGGGTCTGCCCAGGAGGATACCTTCGCCGGGGTCGGTGAAGGCCCATGAGATGTGCTCAATGGCGGAGGAGACACCGTTTGTGACGAGGAGGTCGTCGATGGTCAGTGGTTTGCATGGTTGAAGGTGTTTGTTGAGGAATGATACCATGGCGCGTCGGAGGCGCTCTGCGCCAATGGCACCATCGTTGTAGGTGAGGTACTTGGCTGGGAGGGTGAGCTTCGTGGTGTTGATGTATTCCAGCAGGTAGTCATGCATCAGTGCGTTTTCGGCAACCCCTACGTTCACGTAGCCGTCGGGTTTGGTTGTAGGACACCATGGGTTCTTGAGGATGTCCCACATCAGGTTGTTGGATGAGGAGACAACTGTGCGGGCTCGGTTGGACAGAGGGGAGGGATCCATGTTGGTGGATGAATGGTTTGTATGCTACAATTGGGGTGGCTTGGTGATTGAGATGGGCTTTGGGTGCCAGAAGAGAAGTGAGGATTTGACACACGTGAGGAGGGAAACCACTGGATGAGGCGGATAGCTGTGGATCGATCCTTGGCAGTTCTATATAATCATGAAAAATTCGGGACAGGTAAATGTCGTATGAGGCTTTTCAAGGATGGTATTGGTACTGGTACTGTTGATGCGGAACTGATCCGGACACAGCGTAGACACCTTACATTCCACAGCTTCGGTGCCTCAGAAAATTAGTGAATTACATCACGGTGAAGCAGGTGAGTCAAAATCTGGTTTGTGTTTAATGGTTCGCTTAGTCTTGACTCAAGGTTGGTCGGGAACCTAATATCCCCACCATGGATGATCCGGTGGAGAAAGTTTGCGGCAGATGAAGAACTGGTGTGGCATACCGGAGGGTTGTGGTTCGGCAGACCGAACTTGGTGAAGTGGGTCATGAAGGGTTTCTCTTTGTCAACCTTTGTGGATGCTTCATGATGTGGGTGACAATCACTTCTTTTAATCCACACTGAGGACAGGATTGCCAGCCTAAAGAGGGGCGATCACCGCCATCCCACTGTGGCTGGTAATCCCTTGCGGGAGACAGTTCTAGTAGGGACAGATAGTATACCTTGTGACCTCTGCGGCACATCGCGCCTTAGATATCCTGTCTGATGAATGCGTCTCGAAGCATGTGCGGTGATCTATGTTCTCGGGTTGCCTTCGTATTGCGAATTTCCGGAAATTTGGTGGAGTGCCATTTTCGCATGGCTTTGGGGAACATGTTGATATGATGATAATCACCTTGACTTTGTCGCGGAAGGAATTTGAGTGGTACTAGATTTTGGAGGTAGTTAGCTAGCCATTTTGGAATTGAATTGAGGGTAGATGACAGAGAACCAAATGTAGATAAGTGTGTCCGTTCCGAAAGGTTATCAAAAGAACCCATTAGATAGTAATCAGCGTGCTCAGCCCTGATCTTTTATCCCAGGCTTTGGAAACGTCGAAAATATGTTGGTATTCCAAGTGAACCACAGCAATATTGGGAATGATCAATTGCTGGCGTTCGAACCTTGCGGAAAGGGTTTCCTTATGCCGGGGACAACAAGTCAATTATCTGGGATGTTGTCAACCATTAGCAGACAGAATTCAATACCAAAGAATACAGGCAGTCCGGAATACATAGTTCTGCTGTGTCTGTTACTCATCCAGTAGCTCTCGCTAGCTTAGACATATCACTGTCAACATGCAGAATTACCAGATATATCTGGCCTTGACTGCTTACAAACGTTTGATACAAGAGGAATAAGAAACAAGCTAAGAGTCCATATTGAACTGCTCTATCAAATTACTAACTAGTCTGAGAACACAAGCAGCATTGGATTGTGGTAGTGTGCACGCACTGTAGCTAACACTATGTATGCAAAGATCCATGGGGGCCGACTAGCTATCCCTCTGATAACTTCAGAATGTCCATACTATGGTTTGCGTGTTCGAATTTCATGGCGGTGACATCGTCTCCTCCAGTTCCTGTTCTCGCAATGTCGTCTCGTCGGAGTTCGGATTATGATTAATCAACATGCCTCCTCTGAATGGGTCTTCGAAGATGAAATTAGGATCAGGAGAGAGCGCCCGTCGAGGTTCATAGTTGGGCTCCGGGTATTCAACCCAAAATTGATTCTCCACGTTTTGACAGCTGTACTCGTCGCCACGGCGAACACGGGAATAAGCCCGTCTCGGTTGCCAAGAGGCAATGTGGGCAGCACACGTTCGAAAGTGCTCCGGAAGATCCACCTCTTGATACGACCGATGATAAGCCCGCCTACTGTAACACTCATCTTCATCAGATCTATCGACCTTTGGCCAGTGGTTATGATTGTGATAACAAGCCCGACAGTATGTTCCAGACTCCAAGGTTTTGGTTTCATTATCCCAATAAGGGAGTGGAGCGGTAGCCATGAATTGTAATTGGTGGCAGTCGCCTTCATACCAAACAGTCACGCTCGGACGAGGATTGAGTGGAGGACGAGCGAGCGGACGTCTAATAGATGGAGACCTCCGGGGTCCCCATTCCGAGAAAGTCGCAAATTCTCTCTTCATGGTACGACGTGCTTCATGTGTTTTGCTCTGTGATCCTTCGAGCCCGTGGAGTAGCACAGCTATCGCATCACTCTGGGAGACGCTTGCCAGACGGACCCCAGGTTCCCACACACTGTGGACAATCGGAATATCCCCGAGGTCTGTCTCCTTCAGATCGAAGTAAAAACAGATGTCCTTCACGCGGGCGATTCTGTACAATGGATTGTGATAATTGCAGTTGTAACAGCACCGCTTGAGTGTTGGAAGGTGGAGGTATGGTCCGAAATCATGGCAGGTTCGACACAAAGGTTGGGTAAACTCGTTATAGAGCTGTTCAGTGGTGTAATGGTGAGAGAGACGCATCTTGTCCATCAGATGCAGTGTTTCAAATGCCTTTTCTCTGAGCAACCGATAGGGACGGAGTGATAGAACTTGAGATTCTGATACTGCATCGACCAGAAGCAGGTTGCCCAGGCTAGCCACGTCCAAATAGAGAAGGATGTGATGGATAAGTTCAAGGGGAAGAAAATAACCAAGAAAGAGATTGAGACCAGCATTTGATTGTCTGTTGTCCTTTGACAAGATATTCTCAACTGTTGGCTGCGGGGGTTGTGGCTTCTGATACTTGGAAAACCCAAAGACCTTGCTGATCGGGTTCTCAATCCGGTAAGCAAAGCCGGATGCCATGATGTAAGATATGAGACTTTGAAGAATGGTAGACTGGATTGACAGAGTGAGTTAGATTATATTGATGATGTTATATCGGGTGAGATAGAGAACAAGTCCATACCAAGGTTTAAAGTCGACACGGAGGATGCACATGTAGGGTGCACAGTTTTGTGATGGCAGGAGTGTCAAGGGACTCTCCAGATCACAACGTGAGTGAAATTTTAGACCATGAATCGTCGCGGCAACACTATGGTAGCACCAGCACGTGCAACCTCAAACAACAACTTGGACCCAAATCCAATCTGTGAAATGGTATGGCTACACAATACCGTCAATACTTGATTGACTAGTACTGAATGCAGATTTTATTGTACAATAGGGGGTTGCTTGTAGAGATTTTCGACTTCCTTACCAGCATCTACGTTAGGCTAATATGCTATTCACGAAGCACTGTTAACTGCGATAGACAGCCACCGTTGACCCGTGTTTCCTATTTGGCTTGATAAGGGAGGCTGAGATGCTGTTAGTATGGACCATATGAATACTGACCGAGTTACGTGATCTTTCCCTAGTAAGATGCTCGCGAGGACATAGGAAGCACTCATTCAGGTCTGTTATGCTGACACCCCTATACAATTACCTGATGTAAAATATTCTTCAATCTTATCTATAATATGGGCTTCTTAGGTACACACTTTTCAATTTACCATCCTGCTATCTCGCAGGAGTGCGTCTAATAAAATCTACTATTCCTGCCCACCCTCATTCATCACATGAGCTATTTTATCTTCCGGAATCAATAGACCTTCGGCCGCTTTCTCAATCTGTAGTTGTTAATACTCGCTCGGTGGAAAGTGCAAGTTGAATAACATACAGTATCGCAGAACGTATTTATTTCGGAGAGATTGGTGGCATTTCCAAAATTCTTAGCTTTGATGCGTCGTGCATATCGACTGACAATTCGACACAGCCCCGGCAAGCCTTGTGTGCACTCGAGCATCAGGTGACATGCTTCGCCCCTGCTGATCTTGATGCTGACATTCCGTTCAAACAGAGCGGGGTTGCGGAAGCATAGTTCCAGTGTCGCAATAGCCATGCCCTGAGGCACAGCGCAGAAATTGAAGATGCTCTGCTCATTCAACCCAGCCAGATAAATGAGACATTCCTTGACATGCTCAAGTGCGTTGAGAATCATCTCAGAACTGCACTCTATGGCCGCCTCACGATTCTCTGGCTTGAACAAATCTGCAAAGTTGATGGCGTACCTAGACCATATCTGATGGGGCCAGAACCGACGATTGTTTTCGTGATCTTCACTGACGTCGCGGATGATATTGGTCTTCTGCAGAAAGAGACTCATTGACCGAGGTAAAGTTCGGTTGTCGAGTAATGACGGGTTGCAAAGTTGCGCTTCGATGAAGAAGCGGGTAAGACCCTCACCGACACAGCCGGCAACATAATAGCAGTACAGCTCATACTCGGCTATAGTCATGACGCCGGCATTATCTGGATGGCCCAGGGTAACCTTGTGGCAGAAGTCGGCCATTCCGTTACCCATTATTTTAGTGATGTTCTTGATAATGTGTTTGTAGGCTGGCTTCAAAGCTTTATACTCTCTGATAACGTGATGGAAGTGAACAAGCAGTTCGCGGTCCTTCTCTTCGGGACGGTTGCCATCGTATGTCCACCCGTCTTTCATTATTATATTTTCAAACTCACGAAGCAAGGTCTGCTTGGTCTTCACAGTAATAGAAGGGTCGTCTTCTATGCTGTCGAGACCTCGGAGGACAAGGTAGAAGATACAAATCGGGACGAGCAGTTCGGAGTGGAGCTCCTTAATGATAACGCTGAAGCTCCGGCTGGTTTGATCAAGAAACTTGAAACAAACCTGCCGAGATTCGCTTTCACTTATAATATAGGATCGATGATTTGGGTTGTGTTGGGTCATCCTATGATTGTGAAAATGCAATATGTCAGTTATCAATGGCAGGACAATGGGTGTGGGATGATCACCATTGCAGGACATCCGTCAAATGAAAAGAATGAAACACATAGTAAAGAGCATTGCTAATTGATTCCATCTTTATTGATATATAAATAAGAGAACGACTTTTGCGATGGCCAGATTTCACATGGTTTGGATCTAGGGGGCTTTTAAGGGTATAGAAAGTGGAGGCGGAGCGGAGCGGGATTCACATCCCGCTATTTTAGTTGCGGGAGCGGATTTCGAATTTTCAATCCCCCGAAATCCGTCCACCGGAGGGTTCAGTTAATGCCAGGAACTCTACATTCGCGGTGCAGCGGCGCCTGAATTCTTATTGGACTATCCAGTGTCTCAATTACACTTCACATTTCTTTGCTGAATTAGATGGAAAAGACAGCACGTAATAATGGAAAGCCGGCCGCATACGGCCGAGCATGCGTCAACTGTGCTCGCGTCAAACGCAAATGCATGCTGCGAGCCAATGGAGATGGATGTGAAAGGTAATCCACCTGGCGAAAACACCATTGGCGATCGTTGGCTCATATACATGGTCAGATGCTTTCGGCTCAAAGTAGAATGCAACCCTTCTCATACCGTCCGCAGGAGTGGCTCGAGACCCAACGGCTCTCAAGCTGCTCGTCTGGAGCAGAAGTTAGACGGGCTCGTTTCATTATTGAAGGCTCGCCAGGGTAGCCTTGAACCCGAAGAAACTGCTTCGTCATCAGGGTCCTTTATATCAGCTCCCTCTCGCGCTTCAGTGCCTGCAGATCGTAGGTCGCATGCACAACCGGTTGTTGGTGATCTTGATAGAGCAACTACAGATCATGGCAACAAGTATCCAAATAATCCATCAGAAAGTGGGGGGCTATTCCCACATAGCCTTTCCGAGGCTCCCAATCCATCGTCTCATGATGCAAAACAACGTTTCAAAACTTTCTATAAACACTATACCGAATTTCTCCCTCTTCTATATTTCGAGAATGGGTCGACCTCTGAAGCGCTGTACCGAGAGTCACCATTTCTCTGGCTATGTATAATGGCTGTGACATCTACATACGCCAAAGAACAGAGCAGTCTAGCAAAGAAAGTCCGAGAGGTTGCCGCTCGTGAGGTAATCGTAGAAGGCAAATGTACGATGGATCTGTTGCATGGTCTCCTCTGTTTCATCGGTTGGTCAGTTCTACTTATCACACCCTTGGTAACTGCATGACTAATCGCGATCTATAACTAGGGGACACTTTCGCTTCTCTATGGGATCACTTCTCACCATTTTGTCTCAGCTATGTACTGCTTTGACGGTTGACCTGGAACTTCGAAGTCGGCATTCTGAAGAGAGTAATTTGAATCATATGTTTCCTCGACCGATTGCATCTCAGATTCAGGGGGCTACAGACAGGTTCCAGCCAAGAAGCATCGTAAAGGCACGAACGGCATTGGCTTGCTACTTTCTCACATCATGGTCAGCACTTCATCGAACTATATAGAATACCGCTAATAGCACATCCAGCGTTGCAACGTTTCAAACAGTTGGGGAGAGCTTGGCATGGTCACCATACCTTGAAGAGTGTCTGAAAATGTTACAAGGCTCAAAATGTGTTGGAGGAGACGAGCTGCTGGTGCACATGATCAAGCTTCAGCGCATAACGAGCAAGGTCACTGATGTCCGTATGCAACTAAGAGATAATGACAGCGAACAAAGTACACGTCTTATCTATCCATACATATTTGCCCTCAACACTCAATTATCCGAGACGAGAAAGCAATTACCCCTGCACCTGGCCACGAATAGTACGTTCAATCTGCAATCCCTGACTCGACACCATCACAGTTCTCACTGATACTCCATAGAGATGCTTGAAGCAATGTCCCTGCACACAGAAATCTACATCAATGACCTTATCTTTACGCGCCTTGGGCATTGCCCTCTTCTAGACGATATCAGCAGCATGGAGGCCCTTCTTAATTGCCTCAATGCAGCGAAACGCGCCGTGGACATTATGTTCAACTTCAAACCAACCGAGTATACATACTTCCCCTTCTTTCTGTGGAGGCAGTTCCGAACCGTAATTTTAACCCTCATTCGACTCGCATCCTTCGAAGATCCGGCTTGGGACGTGAAAATGGTTCGACAAACTGTAGACATTGCGTCCATTCTTGACAAGACTGCTGAGAACCTAAGCAATGTACCAACCAACGTTGATGATGGCATTGCTGATCCCGAAAACGTGGTTTCAAAATCATTAGCCTGGGTGAACAGAATGAGGTCTGCCTTACTCGCAGTTTATGGCCAGTCAACAGATGCCCAGGCCGCAACCTCTGAAATGCAGAGCTCAATGGGGATACCAGGTGTGGAACCGTTGCTACCCAGGCAGCAATCCCAGGAAGTGGCTTCAACCATAGACATATTCTCATCACTCGATCATGAACTCTTTGGCGACGATGTTTTTGGGTGGTGGCCGCCCTTATATTCGGAAAATGGGCCATGAAACCTGCTTATGGAAAGGCTTTGATGTATAACTTCAGATATGTTACTGTACAAGATTTTTCCTTCCCTTGTTCTATTATTATCCATCAAATTTTCCGTCTCACTCACTTTCGCAACCTATTTCACCTCAGCATAAACATCCAACGCATCATGCAACCTCCCAAAGACACCTCCATGCCACCCCCTCAACTGCTCCCACTCCGTCGACGGCAACGTAACCCTCGACATCCTCAACCACCCACCGACAATAAAATCCGCGTGACTAGGCCTCTGCCCCAGCAAAAACGGCCCACTAGTGTCCCTCTCAAACATCTTCGCCAAGTCCCCAAGCATATCCCGGAACGAATTCAACACCTGCTCTCTCTTCTCCCCGTCAAGAGCAAAATCATCCCACGACTTGAACCCCGCCCGCCGGACAAACTCCGCCTTACTCTCCTCCGCCGTTTCCGGATCAAACGGCATTTTCTGCACCATCAACAATGTATGCACGCTGAACGCCGCATCGACATTATTATTGAACCTTGCGTAATCCGCATACTCGGTATCATT